AGCAGAGAAAGGGATATTATACCTCCACATAGTAGACAGGTTCCATTAGCCTTGGAGTTGCCATAAGAAAGGCTGAATATGCAACACGTCGTGCAGTTGGAATCATCTGACCAGATCCTCTATGCAATGGCTCTGGTGCTATCCGTGCATCAACAATCTTGAATTTCACGTTTCTGATAGGTTCATCACAGAGGGGACCTTCACGGGCACCCCACTGGAACCTGGAAAAGGATGGAAACGAAGCCATTCAGATACAGCCAACAAAATGGAGCCAAAGGAATGTGTAAGAGAAGAAAGACGATCACCCTTGAACAATGGAGTCTTTCACAGCAATCATCAAGTTCTTGTCAACTTCAGATGGGAGGGTGTCATCCAGTAAAATATTAGGCCCCTGATCAGTCAGAAATTAACAATCAAAACATGATGTTGATGCTTGATTTAGACAAAAAGAGTGCTTAGATTACCAGCTTTTAAGAAAATAAACAACGCAATTTCACCTGTTTGTCAGGGCCAAAAGCCCAAATGGAACGCGCTGCAAGTAAATCCCAGTCATATTTCGTCTTGAAGAAATCACCGAGTTGTTTTCTGTTCCAGTCAATGCTTACGACACCATTCTCAATGTCCTCTGCAAGTCCTCTATCCAACGGCTCTGCGATCTTTGGCACGAAGCAGATATTAGATTAATCACAAAGTAACTGTGCTTGAGCACCATACAAACACAGTCCTATATAAGGGATAGTAGAGAAAAAGGAAGATCTCTTACCATAGTAATTTTGTTCTTTTTGTTTGGTGTCTCAGCAAAACACTTCATGGATGAAGATTCAACCACTGTCTCACAGAAGGAGACCACCGGATCTGCAACCTGGAAATTTAAGAAAGTAAAAGGATGTTAAAGATCAAAAACAAATCAGAGATTGTTAGCATAACCAATCACAGTCAAAGTCCAAATCAGAGATATAACTAACCTTTACTTCAACCTCAGAATAGAGCTCCCTGAGATCCTTCATGATCGAATCCAGGTACAGCTCCCCTGTTCCAAGAATGGTATGTTCCCCAGACTCCTCGACCTTTGTAATGGCAAGAGGATAGCTCTTGCTAATCTTCCTGAGCCCTTCCACCATTTTAGGCAGCTCACTAGGATTCAAAGGCTCTGTGGCAGTCTTGACTACTGGGAGGGTATTAAATTGGAGAGCCCGGAATATGTAGACATCTTCATCGTAGTTTGAATTACACAAAGTCGCAGTTTTCATGATGGACGCATCAACACCTTCAATAAGAACCCATGAACCAGGAGGGGCACTGCTTACAGGTATTCTATACCTGGCTTGATATATCCATAGCTTGGTCACTTCTTTTATAGTCATGTCTTCCTCATCTTCAGGTGAATACCCTTCTCCTAATACACGTACACTTTGCCCTGTTTGAAGCCTACCGCTATAAACTCTTCCGAACACATCAAACACACTAGTATCTGACTTGGGATACAGCTTGGTCACATTAACCATGAGAGGCCCATTTGGATCACATTCTACCATTGATTCATAAATGGGAGAATCTTTGGGTCCAGTGTATGCATGGTCCACTTTCCTAGCTGCAGCCTCTTTTGGGGAAGGAATGTGCTTTACCAACATATCAGTGAAACCTGATGCCGAACCAAAAACTGAGCTACAGGCTAACCTAAGTAAAGGTCTGACGTTTAGCTTGTACGCACTATTACTCAGAGTCACTCCTAATTCTGCAAGGGTGGTCTCAACACTCTTCTTATGTTCACCTATCACTTGGCTGTATATCTTGTATAGAGGCTCCAGAATAAACTGAACAAATGCTCTTTCTCCACCACCTACTGGAGGACTTCTCTTGAATGCCCTAATATCAGGGTGATAATACACATCTCCCCAAAGTTGAGATGCAAATTTATCCACGTCCATGTTCACCCCATGAAGCCTTGAATACAGTTTAGCAAAAGATTGCAGTGTGAAGGACCATCCAGCAGTACCACTTGCGAAACAGACATTTCCAGCTGCAGGATCTATTAGGGGTAAGTTTCCAGCAGTTGTTGAAGCAGCAGATATGTGGTTATTAATGACTTCAATTGTATGCCTCAGCTTGAAGTAAGCATCCCTTGGAGGTAGTTTGAGCTCGGTTATGAGCCTGTCAACCTGTTGGGAAACAAAATTGACATATAAACTAAGGTCAAGTAGAATGTATAGAAATATAAAATCTCACACGATGTATCTCAATTTACACAGCCAGAAATGTACCTTATTGATCACAACAACAATTGGGAGATGGTCCTGGATTGCATGCCGTATAGCCCTCTCTGTGTTTACCTGAAAAAAACATTATTCGCGTTAGTACAAATATCAAACTTCATTTAATAACTTCAGACATAAACAGAGAGCAAAGACCTACCATCACTCCTTCAGCAGCATCAACAATCAGAACAGCACCATCAGCAAGTCTTAGAGAAGCAGTCATTTCATCAGAGAAATTGACATGTCCAGGAGTATCGATGATATTGCACAGGTATGATTTAGATCTGCTGTCCTCAAGGACAAGAGACATTGGAACCGCCTTGATTGATATATTTCTCTCCTGCTCATCAACTCTTGTGTCTGTATATTTCATGTGCTTCTCGTTTTTAACGTTAAAAGTAGACATATGGTGCGTTTGCTCCACCAACATATCCATGAAGACAGTTTTCCCATGCTGTAGATGCCCCACAAGAGCAACATTCCTCACAAGCGCAGGATTAGACATGAGACCAATAAGAAACTGTGTTGACACGTATGTTGTAGAATCCTTTACCCCCACCTCAAATCTAACATCTCTCACGGGTTTGATAATGGGCATCTCAAGAGGCTGCTCATCTTCGTCCATGACTAAGGTCTCAACATCTTCACCATACACCTCCTCTGCAGTCGGATAATACTTCTTATCCTCCGGGAGAACAATCTGGTTTTCCATCTCCACATCATTAATCGTGGTAATCCAGCCATTTGAACCTCCATTCGCATGTTCTCCATCCGATC